AACATAGCATCTTCTGGAAGTGTTCTTTGAGTTATCTGATCTGGTTGAACAGAACATAGCATCTTCTGGAAGTGTTCTTTGAGTTATCTGATCTGGTTGGACAGAACATAGCATCTTCTGGAAGTGTTTCTTTGAGTTATCTGATCTGATTGGACAGAACATAGCATCTTCTGGAAGTGTTCTTTGAGTTATCTGATCTGGTTGAACAGAACATAGCATCTTCTGGAAGTGTTCTTTGAGTTATCTGATCTGGTTGGACAGAACATAGCATCTTCTGGAAGTGTTCTTTGAGTTATCTGATCTGATTGGACAGAACATAGCATCTTCTGGAAGTGTTCTTTGAGTTATCTGATCTGATTGGACAGAACATAGCATCTTCTGGAAGTGTTCTTTGAATTATCTGATCTGGTTGAATAGAACATAGCATCTTCTGGAAGTGTTCTTTGAGTTATCTGATCTGGTTGGACAGAACATAGCATCTTCTGGAAGTGTTCTTTGAGTTATCTGATCTGGTTGGACAGAACATAGCATCTTCTGGAAGTGTTCTTTAAGTTATCTGATCTGATGGGACAGAACATAGCATCTTCTGGAAGTGTTCTTTGAGTTATTTGATCCGAAGAAGTGCATCAGCAGCCTTAGTCATTTGAGCAGCACAAATAAAATTTATCAATTTTACAATTGATGAGTTTGGATCATATTTCTACATGGCTATTGAAGCTTCAGCCTTTGAGAATCCCATTTTGTCAAGTATAACAGTTTATTCTCCTCATCAGAATCAGAAGTCAAGATTTTTTGGTATTAGAAGAATTATCGATATCTGTGAAATCATCTTGAAAAGCCATTTCATAATCAGATGAGCTGTTATCATAATCAACATGTTGCTTGAATGCAAGCTTTTCAAGAGCCTACACAATTGAGTTTTATTCTCAAGAAATTTTTATGACATTATATCTACCTCTACATTTGTCAAAGAGGATAGATTCTCTAATTTGAAGAAGAAAGATTTATTGGGTTTCTATAACTGAAGAAATATTCAGTTCACCAATCTGAAATCAAATAACTTAACATTCATGCATCATATTTTAGGTGTTTACAAAAATAGGTGCATTTTCATTCATTTTATTCTTGTTGAATTTTTAACAGGAATTTCAAAGATTTTAAAAAGATTCAAATTCATCATTTGATGGATCATCATTACCCGAGAAAGTTCATAATGAGAAGAACTCATCTGAAGAAGGAAGAAGAAGTTCATAATGAGAAGAATTTGTTCAACCTTTTGCTTGAATTCATCACTTGATGGATCAACATTTCCAGAGAAAGTTCATAATGAGAAGAACTCATCTGAAGAAGGAAGAAGAAGTTCATAATGAGAAGAACTTGTTCAACCTTTTACCTGAATCCATCATTTGGTGGATCATCTTTTCCAGAGAAAGTTCATAATGAGAAGAACTCATCTGAAGAAGGAAGAAGAAGTTCATAATGAGAAGAATTTGTTCAACCTTTTACCTGAACCCATCATTTGGTGGATCATCTTTTCCAGAGAAAGTTCATAATGAGAAGAACTCATCTGAAGAAGGAAGAAGAAGTTCATAATGAGAAGAATTTGTTCAACCTTTTGTTTGAATCCATCATTTGGTGGATCATCTTTTCCAGAGAAAGTTCATAATGAGAAGAACTCATTTGAAGAAGGAAGAAGAAGTTCATAATGAGAAGAATTTGTTCAACCTTTTACCTGAACCCATCATTTGGTGGATCATCTTTTCCAGAGAAAGTTCATAATGAGAAGAACTCATCTGAAGAAGGAAGAAGAAGTTCATAATGAGAAGAACTTGTTCAACCTTTTGCTTGAATCCATCATTTGGTGGATCATCTTTTCCAGAAAAAGTTCATAATGAGAAGAACTCATCTGAAGAAGGAAGAAGAAGTTCATAATGAGAAGAATTTGTTCAACCTTTTACCTGAATCCATCATTTGGTGGATCATATTTTCCAGAGAAAGTTCATAATGAGAAGAACTCATCTGAAGAAGGAAGAAGAAGTTCATAATGAGAAGAACTTGTTCAACTTTTTTGTTTAAATTCATCATTTGATGGATCAACATGGCCAAAGAAAGTTCATGAATGAGAAGAACTCATCTGAAGAAGGAAGAAGAAGTTCATAATGAGAAAAGCTTGTTCAACCTTTGTTTGATATCATCTGAAGAAAGAAGAGAAAGTTCATAATGAGAAGAACTCATCAAGAGTTTATTCAACCTTTTGAATGACTCTATCACAGAAAGGAGGTCATCATCATCCCCAGCAGAGAGTTCATAATAAGAAGAACTTATTTGGAGAAAAAGAAGAATTTAGTCAATATCTCCATCATGATCAAAGTAAAGTCAAATGGATAAAAATTTTATTATCTTTTTATCTTTGCCCTATTCTTGTTAACACAAGAATGAGCAAAGAGGGGCAGCTGAAGATACTAAATTTTTATCCATATTATTATTATTATTATTATTATTATTATTATTATTATTATTATTATTATTATTATTATTATTATTATTATTATTATTATTATTATTATTATTATTATTATTATTATTATCATTATTAATATTATTATTAATATTATTATTATTATTTTTATTATTAAATATATTAAATACAAACCAGTTACAATTAAACCGGCTCAGTTACAAACCAACTGAAACCGGTCCAAATCCAACCGGAAACCCTAAATATTTGGGTTTCCAGTTAGGGTTCCCTAACCCTAATCTAGCCAGCCGCCAGCCGCCATCTTCAATCTCAACCGTTGGATCTGGTTTGATCCAACGGTCCATCATTTGCCAGAGGAAACCCTAGGGTATCTATACCCTAGGGACACGTCCACCGCCGCCGCTGCTGCTTCCAGAAGCCCTCACCGCCTCCGCCGCTGCCACGTCCCGAATGATGCTTCCAGAAGATCAACGCCGGCCGTCCACGCTAAGGCTACGGGGTGAGTCACCACTGGTAGTCCGGTGACTCACCGAAGCCCCCTCTTCGGACCAGTCCGATGACCGCACCGGTGGTGGCTATAAAAGCCACCACCCACCTGCGAAACAAAAAAAAAGGAAAAACCGAGACAGCCAACAACAGAAAAAAAAACAGAGGATACAACAAACAACGAATAGCAACCACAGCAGTAAACCAAAGGAAAAGAGAAGAAGAAGACTTACCCTTGAAGCCTTTGTAGCCCTCGGAAGCCAAACGTTGCCAAACCGCCGTTTAAGAAGGTAGAACCCTTCGGTTTTGTTTAGATTTACTCCGATTAGGAGTCTTTTAGAGAAAACAAAGACCGGAATCGGTCTTAGGGCATTTAGATCTACAATTTGGGGGTGTTTTTGGTGAATTCCGACCACCGTTACGGTGGCCGGCGGCGGTGGCCGGCGGCGGAGTACGGTGGCCTAAGGCTGCCGGTTTCCCTCCGGTGAGGGAAACCTAGAGAGAAGGCAGAGAGTTTGAAACTCTCTCGGTTTAGAGAGAGAGAAGGAAATGAGGAATGAAATGGTTGGCCCTTCGGGCCAGCCGATATTGGACATTTATAGTCCTTCCCGAACGACGTCGTTTCGGGAAGGACTATGCGCGTAATTACAAAATAGTTAAATCCCTTCCGCAGTCCTTAGTATTTGTAAACTTTACATTTTAGTCACTAAATTGAATTTTTAATATTTTTTAGTTCAGTCTTCGAATTTTAAATTTATTCATTTTAGTCCTTTTTATTAAAATAATATATTTAGGATAAATAACAGATTTAATCCTTAAAATTTTAATAAATAATATTTTAATCCCTAGCTTATATTTTTAATTTATTTGAATCTAATATCCGAATTTTAGATAATTTTATTTTAATCACTAAATAAATAAAAATAAAAAAAAAATAATAATATTTAATCCCTATAGTTTTGATTAGTTATGAATTAGATTTTTTTAATTTTATTTTTATTGCAATTTAGTCATTTATTTTATATGTTTTAATTTATTTTATTGTTTTTAAATATATTGTTTTAATAGAATTATTCTTTTATTATATTGTTAAATATTTTGATATATATCATAAATATATATAAATATTAACTTTTAAATATTTATTTTTAATATCGAAGAAAAGGACAGTCTTAATACAACTGGATGTCCTATTCTGATATTTTAAAATTAAACAATATTATTTAAATTAATATTTATCAATATCAAAGAAAAAGAGCTGTCTTAAAGTACCTAGAAGTTCTTTTCGGATATTTTTAAATAAAAAATATTTTATAATTTTGAAATAATAGAATTATAAATTAAATATATTTTTGAATTTTTAAATTTTTAATACTAGAGACAATTTATAATTAAAAAGTACCAATTTTGGGCGTTGTAGGGGTGCTAATCCTTCCCTAAACGTAACCGACCACGAACCCCTTTTTATTATTAAAAAGAACAAATTTTTGGTTATAAAACGCAGATCAGTTCATTTTTTAATTGATGTTTTCTTAAAACTCTTTTAAAAAATAATTTTTAGGTATTTGACCTACCTGATCCAAAAGGTCGATGGCGACTCACAAATTATTTTCAAAATTATTTATTAACATTAATTTCCCCACCAAAATTTAATATTTCGTGCCCGGACGAAAAACGGTCACGACAGGAATAGCTGCCGTTGTATAGCGGTAAAGGTGCCGTCCGAAACTGTTATTGCACAACCGCAATACCCGCAATAGCACCAGCTATTGTTGTAATCGTGATAAACGCAACGCGACCGTAACCGCAATTTAAATCCCAATGTAGTACAATCTCATGACATGGCATGAGATGGTCAAAACAGTAAGAAAAGAAATCAACAATTTCAAGATTAAATCTACAAACAAATTGATGATGTGCTCAATTTTTGAAAAGACATTACTTCAAATTATTTGGCTCGGGATAAGCTTCAGAAAAAAATATTTATGCAAGGCCATTATGAAAGTCCGCATAAAAATTTTGTATAATGGAATACCTGTCCCGCTGCCTAGCAGCTTCTCCACTTTGGATTGTTCATCAAAATTTCTGAATCTCATAAAATACAAGTCTTTGGTTAGATGAGAGAACGATTCAACGGTTGACTTGATACCATCCTATATTCCCAGCAAGAAAGAACAAAAATCATGTCAAACTTTTAGATAAAACTCTTGAAGTCTCCCTATTGGATCTTGAAAAGATATTTTATGTGATTGATGTAATCAAGAAATGAGAAAAATAGTCTTAAGACCAAAGAACTTCAATCTCTCTTTTTGTGCCAAAAAAGTACTTAAATCTAATGTTAATAATTTCTTAAGCAAGAACAAAATGTAACATGAATGACAAACGGCATAATAGAGACTGAAAATTGTCTTTATGCTTATTAATTCAGGGAGGAAAACTGAAAAAGGGATAAAAGCATAAAAAAAACAAAAACAGTTATCAGATTCCACAAGAAAATCCAATCAAACGGCTATTTTTTACTTTGATTCCAGAAGGATACCCAATTCTACCAAATTCCATTCATCAGTCTTTCAGTTCAAGGAAACAAAATCTGAATTAAACTCACTTTAGTTATTTCCAACCAAAAGTTTGTTCATTTGCCCCTCACAATAGATATACTTAAGAATTGAACAAAAAATGCAGTATTGCATTTCAACGTTACTAGTGAGAAAAATAAATTGAAATCAAGAATGTTTAGTTGACTGTAAAATCAATTTACTTCCATTCATCAGTCTTTCAGTTCAAGGAAACAAAAGCTGATTTAAACTCACTTTAGTTAGTTCCAACCAAAAGTTTGTTCATTTGCCCCTCACAATAGATATACTTAAGAATTGAACAAAAAACGCAGTATTGCATTTCAACGTTACTACTTGTGAGAAAAATAAATTGAAATCAAGAATGTTTAGTTGACTGTAAAATCAATTTAAGAGTGATAATCCACTCCATGCCTCAGAAGTGGAGACAATGATTAGTTATTCTTATCTATAAAGATTAATATTATTCAGAAATACCAAGGGATGAAAATAGAAATTCAATGCACTGAGTATTCCAGTTTCTAACAACCCTAAATAAATCATGAAAAATTAACAGCTAACAGAAGCTCTGGAAACATTCAATATATTTTAGGAGTGCGTTTTTAACGAGGCCTACAATTCCTATAAAAAATATATATATTTTAGGAGTGCCAGAAGAAAGGACAAATGATGAGAATATTATATGTTAGAAAAGAATGGATTTCATAAAAGGAAAGACAGCAGAAACTTACTTTTAGGGAGACGACAGGGGCGTATCCAAGATGCTTTTGAGAGGCAGAGCAGTCAAAAGTTCTGTTACGTGAAGCTAACAGCACTAGGTAATGAGGTGACACAGAATATGTATACATTCTGTAGCGCAATTTGTCATGTATGTATTGACAAAGTAAGACTATATAGGAAACCATTCGAGTAGGAACTTTTATGAACGGCCTGCAATGCAATTGACAACTCCAGTTACGAGAATATTGTTTAAGGTGACAAAATATAAACAAAATAAAAGAAAAAAGAAATTTGTGTAATTGCTTCAGCAACCAATTTAGAAGAAAGACAAAAATTACATAAATTTTCAACTAAAAAAGAGTGAGGATTTCCAGAAGGATGTCAAACAGGATGCTAAAACATGTAACAACAGAGTTTGTGTATCATAATTGTAAGACTCCACTGCCAAACACGAAAGGACACTCATTCCTATTCTAAAATTATTGTATCTAATTGGTATGGCAAAATCTAGCAGTATTTGTGCTGATGAATAGGCAATAAACAGCTAATTTCAAATTTCAGATACCAAAGGAAAGGATCCAAATAACTAACAAGGCTTCATAGCATAATCAAAGTTAGTTTACTTTATTCCCTTCTCTGGTCCATGTTAACAGTCACAGTAACACAAGTAAATTACTAACAAAATAGTTAAGTGACCTATTACATGACATACTCATGTTAGATTGATGAATCTACAGTATAGTAACCTACAACGAAACAGTATGATAATGACAGATGTTCACATATTGGTAAACCAGCATGCTTTACCTTTGATACCCTAAGCCTTCAAGTATGAGAGACACAAATTCCCAGAACATTACAGGCTCAAGGTTTGTGATGAAAAAAACCTGCATATTGAAAACATAGTTTATATAACTTTCAATATTAATTAAATAAGACAAGTTTATATAACTTTCAAGACTCCTTAGGATACCTTTCCAGCCACAGACACTGCTTGAGAATCTAAAGATTCTGCAGCACAGATATGAGCATAAGCAACATTCTCGACATAGGTAAAATCAGACATATTTTTACCACTTCCTGTAATGAACTGAAGTGAGAACTGTCACTATAAAAAGGATTAACAGAAATACTCCATATTTCATCATAAGTTCATAACAGGAAATAGACATTTTCAGGAAAAAAGAAGAAACAAGACACATAATATAATTTCAGAAACATAGAAGCAGCGGCACATTCCCAAAAAGCATGAATAATCTGGGATGCAAAACAACTAAGGATCTTAATTGAGAAAAATTCAAACATGGGAAATCAGGGATAAAAGTAAAGAGGTTCCGAAAGGCACATCGCCATATTTTATTGTCAGTCTGTATCCAAATTATCAATGTAGATTGTAGAAATATGCAATATTATATGGTTGTAACAGTAAGAATTTTCACACAATCAAGATACGAGTAAAACTATAGCTGTAATAAATAAAATGAAGTTAAGACAGTTCACAAACCTTTGCCAAACCAAACGTGGCTAGATTTGCCAGCAAAGGAACAAATTGTGTTTCACCGGGTCCAAAGACATTGCTAGGGCGAAGTACACATGTTAGAAGACCATCAATATTGTTAGCTAACCTGATTAGTCCTTCTGCTTGAAACTTAAGGTCAATCATCATATCTTTAAACTGTAACAGTGCATCGATAAACAAAAGAACAATTAGCAAACAAATGGAAACTCAAAACCCAAAATTGTTTTATCAGATTGCAGCAATATGAAACGTACTTTCCCAGGAAAAGTGAAGGACTCGTCACCATTAAGTATATCCCGTGAACCATCAAAAACGACATCTGCAGAACTGTTGTATACAAGCCGCCTAACTTTACTTTCTCGGCAGGCATTGATGACATTTTTTGCACCTGAAAATGTTGTCAACATAATGCCAGGGTTTTAAAAATATAGTATATAGTTATAAATCTCACCAAAAGAGGGACAGGAAAAAGGTCCATTACCTTGAACTATGATCATGTAACAATTACAGAAATCATGATCATCTAAATCAGTCGGTTCCATGTAAAATATAACATCTGCACCTTTAGTTGCTGCAAAGTGTATTGTCAATAGAGTCGGTTTCTCAAACATCTTCAATGTTGCCAGAAAATTTAAAACTGAACATGAAACTAAATATAAAAATTTAGACTGATAAAACTAACATTTTCAGTTCTCAAATTTGATAATGGTTTCTCAGAGACTAAATATCGTGTATTCCTAATTTTCCAATCTTTCCAGGCAGCTATATCTAAAAGCATTCAGTATTACTAATCTCTGAGAAAGGGAAAAAGAACATTTCTCGGATTTTCTACTTTATTTTTAGCGTCTAATAATCTAAGAAAAAACCAAAACAAAATTCCTCTATTTCAATTAATGAAAGTGTAAAACTATTTTAGTCGTTGCTTTTTCAGCTAGCTTTTCAGTTCTAGAGACAAAACCAAGATTTTAGATCAAAAGCGAACAATATTTTTCAAAATAAGAAAAACGATTTTTTAAATACTGCACAAAATAAGTGGTTCTACTTTTATATAGACTAATTATGCTATAATCGATATTAGTTTTCATTTCTGATCTGGTTCTACTTTTATATAGACTAATTATGCTATAATCGATGTTAGTTTTCATTTCTGATCAACTTTGAGTTTTGGTTTACTTTATTGCAACTTCAAGTAAATTCGAACAAAAATGCTCAGCGCAAACTCCATTCTCAGCTAATCAAACTCAAAATCGCCTTAAACTTAAATGGATAATTGATCAAACTTATATCGATCGTATATTAACGTTTGTATTTCCTTGTACCTTCGATAATTTGAGACGTATCGAGAACATCGACGTGGCAAAAGGAGGCTCGACCAGAATTGATAGCATCGGCGAGGAGAGAGTCGGAAGCGGAGTAAGTATCGAGCAACAGCGAGTGAGAAGATGAGTCAGCGACTCGGACGATCCAGCCTCCGAGTCGAAGCAACCTGTTGACTAGCGTTCTTCCTGAGAATCCTCGGCCTCCGAGAACTACGCACGTCCGAGTTTCGCTCCGATCTCCGCGCGCCACATCATTCGTCGCCGCCGGCGTCACATCCATTTTCCCTCCTTTTCTTTTCCTTATTGTTTTCCCTTTTTTATCTGCAAAAAATGGGGATCGACAATGTTTTCGATTAGTGTGCGGAGGATTTGATAAAATTACTGGCGTTGTGAAATAAAAAAAACTGTTTGGCGGGGCGAAATCGTTGAATTTTTTCTTTGCCTTTTCAATTGTAAGGAAATATTATAGGTCTAATTTTGATTTCAGTCCTTCAACTATGGATAAATGTAATATTTAATTCTTTTACATTCTATCTACCATAGGTTCAGAACGGATCTAGATTTTACTCGTAAATATCTAGGCAAAAAGGTATTAGACATCTCTATATATTCAATGTGGTTCACGTATTATTTTTTCTCATAATATGACTCCAACTCAAAAAATAAATTTATTGTGACCCTTTGACTTACGTTTTTCGTCGTTTGACCGTAACAGTACTGACGAGACAGTTCAGAGTACTGAAGTGTTAGTCCATGATTTTAATGTGACAATCAATATGCTCGGTTTGAGTTACTAGTTTAGCTCATCTGTCATGTTATCCGTCAAGTTATCGACTATTGTAGACTGTCACATCAACACTGTAAACTGTCATGTCAACATCATGAACTCAACGACGAAAAAACGTAGGTACAAAAAGCTACATATGGTTTATTTTATGTGTTGGAGGGCCATATTAAGAGAAAAAAAAATAGTATGAGGGTCACATTAATTTTTTTTAAAATTACATAAACCTCTTATAAAATTTTTCCAAATATTTATTATTAAACTCACTTTATTTTTTTGGATAATAAATTTTAGTATTTTTTATTTAAGTTCATTTTAATTTTGTTAATACTAGTTGTCTATTGGTAACGTACGTACATTCTATAGATGTAATTATTCAAATTTAAATTTTTTAAAAGAAATATTTTTTATTTTATTAGAGAGGTAACTCAATGGATTCAATAATAATATTAAATTAAATTAAATAAATAATATAGAAGTTAAATTATTTTAAATTGAATTTTTAAGATTATATCGTAAATCAAATATGGAAGATGAACTAAAAGTGTAATTAGACCAAGTTGATGGAATACGTAACTATATTTTCCGGTTGAAAGGAAAAAGGTGGATCGTGAGTGGTGGGTGGGGTCCAGTGATCGGGTGAGATGGTGCATGCGGCGTCAGATACAAGGGCGCTTTCAGGTGAAAATTACAGCTCCCACTAAACAACTTTCTTCTTTGGCACCTAATATTTGTCTTCCTAAGTTATATCTATATATTTTAATACTTAAATTATTAATTTTAATCTATTTTAATATTTTTTTTAAATCATATTTGATGTTTAATTTGTGTCTTGTTTCTAGTACTTCACTATTAAAAACTTAAAATTTTTATGGCTAAATTATATCATCTCTCAAATATCTTCTTATTCTTATTTTGATATTAGAGTTTAAAATATTTTTATATTTAACTATATGTTAAAAACTTTGCATTTTAATTTTGGTAGTCGAGCCCAGAACCTCAATAAATAACTACAACTCTTTTACCATTAAAGTTGCTCTGTTTTAACATATATTATCTTGTACTTACCTAAATCTGGCAAACTTGACCTAAATCGATTTACCTGACCCAATACCCGATATTAACCCCAACATGATGATCAAATTTGATAAAAACTCAAACCATACCCGATCCAAAATTTAACTGACCCAATATGTATTCATATCCAATTTGACCCGAATCGAAAACACTTCAAACCGAAATTAACTCGAACCAAAAGTAACCTGAACCGAAAATAACTTGAATCGAAAAGCAACCTAAATCGAATTTAAGTCGATCTAAAATTGATCTGAATCGAAAGCAATTTGAATCAAAAATCAATATATACTTGATTAGACTTATAATCGAATTAAGCATAACTAATAAGATTAACAAACAAAAAGACATGTTTTCACAAGAATATATCAATAATTATATATATATTTGATTAGACTCACAACTAATTCAATTTGAATTGACACGATCCAAAAGTTAACCAAAATCGAAAATCAATCGATTTGATATTGACTCGACCCAAAATCTAACCAGTTCGGTATTAACTAGACAAAAAAACAACCGATCCAATATTAATTAGAACTGAAAAACAACTGATTTGATAGTCACCCGATTTGAAAAATGGCCCACCCGCAAATTTACCTGACCCGACCCTACCCAAATAAAATTAAACTGAATATAATCTATACCAAAAAATGATCCGACCCAAATTCTATCCGAATGACCCATTTGTCACCTCTATACTTACTCTATATTAATAAAAAAATATTTAATCTTTGGTATACTTTACCTATTAAAATAAGGATATATAATACATTTAGTACCTAAATTATTAATTTTAATCTATTTTAGTACCTGAATAATTGATTTTTTTTCAAAATCATACATAAAGTTTAGTTTTTTGTTTCATTTTAGTACATTGTCGTTAAAAACATTATTTTTTTTTATTTTATTAACCCATTTCAAAATTAGCGTTAAGTTTTTAAAAAATTAAAAGGTTAGGTACTAAGACGGGCCAAAATTGATAATTTAGGTACTAAATACATGTGTGTTTGTTTGTCGTAAAACTAATTACGGAATTGGTTTTCCCCAAAATCCCGTGTTTGTTTCATGTAATTCGTTTTCCGGAAAATGTTTTCCTGTGTTTGTTTCACGTAATTCGTTTTCCGGAACGTAATTCATTTTCCTAGTAACATAATTTCCTTTGTATTTTCTGTAAAATGACTTACGGATTCATTTTCCGTAAGTCATTTTTCGAACTTTTCACTTCAAAGCAAAAATATTTAAAATAATTTTATTTTATGAATTTAATATTAATAAAATATTTTAGTATCATTTTCATCAAAATATTAATTATTAAAATATTTAAAATATATTTATTAATATTTATAATAATATAATATTCTATTTTTAGTTTAATAATATAAGATATTATATTTTTTATTTTAATAATATATAATAAATTTTTTATATATTTAATAATGAATAATATTATTTATATATTTAAAACATATACTAGTAAAGATATTTAAAATATACTAATTAATATTTTTAAAATATAATATAACACTATTACTTTAATAAATAATTAATATAATTTATAATATTTTATTTCACTAAAATATACCAATATTAATATTTTTATTAATAAAATTATAAAAATATATTTAATAATAAATAAATTATTTTAATATTTTAAAATAATAATATTAAGTTTTATGAAAAATAATATTATTTATTATATTTAATATTTGTAATAAATAAATTTTAAAAAACTCTTCAACTAGTGGAAAAAATGTTTAAATAACATCTTCCAAACATCATAAAACGTTTTCCAGATGTTTTCCAGAAATGTAATTCATTTTCCAGAAATGTAATTCATTTTCCAGAATTCAAATTCTAGTAATTCATTTTCCAGTCATTCAAATTCCAGTAATTCATTTTCCGGAAAATCAATTACAGGTAAACAAACAGACCCTAAGTTTTTAACGGTGAAGTATTAAAATGAAATGAAAACTAAATATGAGTATGATTTTTAAAAAAAATTATTATTTCGATACTAAAATGAGCCAAAACTGATAATTTCAGTACTAAATGCATAATGAACCCTTAAAATAATTCATTGCCAATGGATCTGAGTTGTATAAATACATTATTTTCCAATCCATAAAATGAATTATGAAAGATAACACTTCCAAGTAAGGATGAACACTTTGAAACTGTCTTCATTTGTATAATTTCATGCAACCAATACCTAGACTTTGAATCGAAACCCATGTAGGAACTATATACATATCAATGAATTGGTAACCGCTTTCGATTTCGATATTTGTTGTGCCTAACCGTGTTTCATGAAGATCGAATGAGTCACTTTCTCGCTTTAGTTTCAACTGCTAGGATGGGCGGTGACGGCTGCGATCCGCCACCTAAAGCGGCGGCGGCAGATTCGACATGCGTAAGAAGATAGTCATATACTTTCTTCCTAAGCCTATCGACCGTCTCCGTCGAAACATTCACGGGTGTCTCGCCCTCGTCTTTACTTGAACTAATTTCGTCTAACCAGTCATTGACACTCTTGAGCTGCGTCAACATCCCAGCTATTTGACCCTTGTCGGATAGAGCAGACGTGTCTACATCGGCATCTAAGAATTTCTCGACGAACCCGAAGAACCAGTCATGGGATTCCATTCGCAAGATATCAGCCATGTCAACAGCCTCATCAAGGCCATTTCCCCTTGTCCATATTTCCGGTGGTGGTTGGACTGCAGCCTTGGGAACAAGGCCTGAACCGTTCCCGGCTTTCCGAATAACACCCTGTGCTACAAGCTTCGAAACAACTACTGGCCGGGTTTTTCCTTGGGATTTTGTCGTGCCATTCTTATCTGAACTCTCGAGAATTAATATATTTTGGTAGCCAATGCAGCTTGCACCCATGAAACTGCATATTTTCGTCTATCAAATGCAACCTTTACAGCCTCTTCTGACGGGGTTCCTTCTGATTCTGGAGATGAACCAACTGGAATAGTTATCTAAATGTTTAAAATTATTCTGTATAAAGGTTCTTGAACAGATTCTTGATGCACCTGGATCATAGCGGGATTCTAAAGTATCAACTCTAAATGTCTAATTAGATTCATTAGTAATCGATCTCTTTCAATAAGACTTCGTTCCTGGAATCCAATTAAATTGCATCAATTTCATGTTTTTCATTACTGATAACTACCAAGTTCCTCTGTAAATACTTGGATCCTCTAGTGTGTTCCCCACATATTACATGACTGAAAAATCTTTCACTGAAATTATTGATTTACTGTCTTATGAAAAATGGCTACATGATGTGTGTTTTTTTATTATGATTTTCACTGAAAAATATGATTATTCCTGATTTATGGAATCATGAAATTTACTGATTTATGAACTATAGTTTCCTGTTTTCACTTGTTACTACAAATATTATAGATTTGAAATTATATCACTTAAAACTTATATTTGAATTAAATATGAGTAAATTTATTTTTTCAGCAAGTGAATAGGTGTCGGCAACGCCAACTTCGGTTGTTTCTCCATCAAGGAAACCGTTCATTATAACCATTTATAAGTTCATATCATCCTAC